CTGCTTGCCATTCTCCGTGTGCTTCCTGGGCTGGCGGGGGGCAATGCGGATTTGCTTGGGATGCTCCGCAGTGGCGAACTGAATGCAAACATATGCAAACGACCTCGCCGCCACAACTGAGGTTCAGTAGATGGTATATCGTCGGGGCACATCAGATGGTGTTGTCACTGCGTTCCAGCACACAGCCTGCCTGTCACCTTGCACACTCCTGCATGTGCCTCACAAAGACTTCAGCCGGTTACAAACTGTGCTTGGGAGACTTCCTGCATTCAAAGATCACGATGAGCTCGGCAACCAGCTGTCCTCGCTGGTCATCCTCCTGGACTACTGACTCTGGAGTGGCACATAGTACATAGCCAGAAAAGATGTGCCTTAGCGTCGGCCTTTGATTCCTTCGCTTCAGCTTTGGTGGAGCTCTTTGACGCGCTGCCCATTAAGGAACTCAGGCACTCCAAAGCATCCTGGACGCCAAGTCCACGTATGTCCACGTCACCATGTTTCACTCAGCAAAAGCAGGGACCCTTAGCACGGCCCTTCCTGCAGCGACTCCACATTATCGTCCGCAAGCTCTTCATCCTGAAGCGGAGAGATCTTCTCAACCACGCGCAGGATGGCAACCACGGCGCCTGCAGGCATGCTTGTGGTCTTGCAAGCTCACTGATCTCTGCATACGTCAAGACACCAGTGGACAGAGCAATCTGCCTTTGGTGGCCACGATGGCTCCAGGGGCACGTTTCGCCAGAGCCTTGAACTCGGCCAGGGCAAACTGGCGTGCCCGATGGCTGCTTGCTGTGCTACAGTCTCCTCGCAGCACACTCACTAAACACACCACACACACCTTGCAAAATCAATCTAGGTGCTGACGTCCACAGGGCATGTTGATACTCTGCTTGCCTCACCTAACATGAGCAATCAAAACTGAATCCTTCCCCACCCCAAAAACCCTATCTCATGTAATGAATGTACTTAGCGAAGTGGGTAACTCACCGCAGGGTCCTGAGATTCGGTCGACCAATGCACCAGCATCTATGTGAGCATCTATTGAGCTTGCCGAATCCAGAATGCTTTGTCCTCACAACAAATTCCACGGCAACAGCCAACAGCACCGCGACTGAAGCAGACCGGGATCCCGGCCCAATGCGTCTAAGAAACTCGATTGCGACATGCTGTGCCATGCGGATACGATCTGCTTCGTGTAGAAGAGTATTTCAACTTGACTTACAGACAAGACAGCTGGCACAGCACGATCACTGCTCCAGGGATTGCATTGTGCGTATACCTCCCAATTTCCTCAAAGTCCAACCAGCCTATCATCAGCCTCTGGCTCAGGCTTTGTTGTTCCCTGATGACTTCGGAAATAAAGAAACACCAATGAATGTGCGAAGCCATCATGTCTGCAATTGCACAGGGACAAATTGACAATTGCAACAGTGGCTCCAGATGACTCCAGTTACTGTCCATAAAGAAATGAGCTCACTGTTGATCTCGCGGATCAGCGCTCTCAAAACTAAATGAAGCATCTGCCACCAAGACTGTCGAAAAAAAATGAAGCATCAAAACGCAGCCTTCACGCACCCTCCCCTTTCAACAATGCCTCTGTGCGCACAACGTCTCTGCATGATCGCGGCATCCATAGAGCAATCATAGCCGTTGCTTTTTGCTGCATACAATGCCCGAAGTCGAGCTTGCCCATGACTCGGTGACTTGATCTTTGCAAGTCGTTTGCTAGATGAAGGCTTTGCCTGAACAGGCTCTATCAGCTTTGCTGGCGGCCTAGTCATCCTAATCTACAATGCAAAACCCTGCCCGGGTAAAGTATGCTCTCAGCTCGTCCAATGACACTTTGCGATCGCCTGCAACCGCTGCCAAGCGGTGGCTAGCGGTGGCTTGAATTGGCTTTGTTCCTCTTCGGACCTGGACCTACCCCACAGAAAGCAGTCTCTGGGTGGCTGAACATAATGCTCCGCCGAGGCACTGTTGGCATCCAAGGCTTGGTACCTTTGCACGCAAATTCCTTTCCGAGAGCATGGCCGTTCGCTTACTTGGATGCGGTTCCCGGTTCCATATCAATATCCCATTCCCTTGCTCGAACGCTGGAGGGTTGTCTTGCTACCGCCATGCGCATCGGTCTTTCTGATGAGGTTGTCAGTACCATTCGAAATTTGAATGGTGTGATCCGCAACCTTAAAACGGTTTGAAGACTAGGACCCTTTGTTCACGAATCCTTGCACCGCACATTGAGGCAGCTTGCGCGTGCGGGATTTCAATGCCGCCCCGCGTCACTACTAAAGGCGAATTCACAACCGACACGACCAATCCGAAAGGCACAACCGATACAACCGAAACGAATTACGCCACCAGCTAGTACAACCCAAATAACCAAAATCATATAAGCCCAGACCCTTCAAAGAACCCTAGAAGCTTTGCAGCACCAGAGCCGCAGAAACCCAAAACCGAAAAAGTCAAACTCTAAATCCGTTTTGACCGGTACTGTAGCACACAACCCGTTAGTCTAACGCACCAAACCCTCAACCTTTACCGCTAATGCCTGACGCTTCGAAAGCGCCAAACCCAAAGAACATCAAACAGAAACGGGCTTGAAAATCATATCCTTCTACGCTGAAAAAAATCGCACCTGCAAAAATGCATAAGCACCAAATCCACCCGCCTCAAAAAAATTGATACCATGTTTACCATATGTCACCATACAACGTCATGAGCCGCCGAAAACCCCCAAACCCTATAAATATTGAAGCCTTGAATCCTCAGAATCGACGTCCTAAAATCCGAAGTTTCAAACATCCTTTACGCCAAAGCCTTACAGACCAAAAACTCCACATCCCCCAAAATCTCTGACATCCTCCTAACCTCTGCCTTTGCGCGCGCGAAAAAAGTAAACCGAAAGAGCTTGGCAAGGAAACAGCTGACCCCAGAATGAAACCCAACAGCCGCTAAAACATCAGTACGCAAGTCAAACAGACTCATAAGTCCGCGCTGGTGAAAGCCTCTCTTACAAGATGAGCAATCACAAACCCAACTGTCCATGACTCAAGCGTGACTTAACCCCATAACTTTTTAATCTAATATGCCCCAACCGAAAACACTCTAAAACTTGCATGACCCCAACCGTTACCTGAATCCAAAACTTTTACCCCCAAAAGTAGTGGCTAAAACCAAGAGTGAATCCAAATCCGCCGAGGCCGGAGGCCTGGGGCGTTTAGATCCAGGGCCTTTGGAAGAGTGAGTTAACCCGCGATTCTGCGGGTGGAATCTGACAGCTGGTTTTTTTCGGGTCTGGGGGGGTCCGGGCGGTTGCCGGGTTCAGCACAGGTTGGCGAGGGGCCGAAAGGGGGGCGGGGGGGGGGGAAGAGGTTTCCGGCACCCCTCGACAGCCTTTGCCGAGGCCGTCTCGCATTAGCGGTGAAATTAAATACTTTGAACCCGTTTCCACACCCTACAAAACCGAAAGGCCAAAATGACGGATAAAGCCCTTAGGGAGTAAACCTCTCAACCCTAAACAAAAAGCCTGTCGAACAACCAACTCGACATTGAAATTAAGTTGAGTGTCTTCCGCTGAAACAAGTTCTTGTAAATATGTTGTTTCAAGTCCATCTTCAAGTCGCCTTTACATGTCCACTACAGTTTTGTGAATTCATGGGATTCCAAGCTGCCATCCATCCACTGACTTCCGCCCTGCTGAGGGGAAAGCCCGGTTACCATCTTTTCTTCTGTTGCAACCCCAAGCACAATGTAGATTCAAATTTTGCTGCGTCTTCCGGCTATCCGACTATCCGATACGCTTTAGGGCATGGACTAATGCTGTTGCCAAACTGCACGTTAATAAATACAAACCGGGCCGATGTAAGATAATCCTACCACTGGTGTTTAAGTGCATTTTTCGCCTCTTTTTCATCATAGGTCCATGGAGTATGCCCCAGACTGGGGCTCCCCAAAAAAAAGTCGAATTTGCAAGGTGCGGCCACAAATGGCCGCCCTTACTTTTGGTATTGATGCCCTTTCCTGGTCACTACAAAGGCCATAATGGCGCTCAATTCACAAAAATTCTTCATCTGTTTCAAGAGTCATCACCGAAACCTGCTGCTGTAACGAGTCTTCAGACTGCCAGACTACTAGCTTGCAGTCCTTCAGGTGTCCATTTGAATAAAAAGTTCCACTCCATGTGTCTTTCGACCGCACCTTTTCCGAAATTTTTTTTGGGTGAACGTCATCTGTTGCGCTTATGAGTGAGATGTTTGGAATGCTCACTGGGTTTTTAATCATGCTTTCTGCGAACCCCATCTGCGTCCGCCCGTGTGCGCCACAACCTATGACCTTCAATTTCGCATGCCTTGGTCAGTCGCTGGAGCACTTGGTGATCAGTTTTCAAGCTGCCTGTGATCTGAGATCCTAGGATACAGGATTAGTTTGCAAAATCATCTGGCATGGTCTTGTTTCACCAGCTTCAACACAGGCACAGCTGTCACGGTTCAAGCAGCGCTTCTTTACTTCCGCTTGTTCACCAACGCGTTTCTCTACCTGCAGAGTATCAGAATCCAGCATGGTGTCATATGTCTAATGTACTCAGCTTATACTAGTGTTAGGTAGCGAATATTAAAGCGGTTCGGAATAAAGCGACTTCGGCCAAATGGAATGATGAAAGGGGTAGGGAATAGGGCGAACCCTTGTCCAGCGCAATTGTCCCGCGCAATGGAATAAGGGCATGCTCTGAACTCAAAACCCAAGCGTCCTGTTTTTTGAATTCCTCCAGGACCCCCCAAACGAGTTTCTCCCAAACTTAATTCTTGGGACCCCTCATCATTCAGAATCGGTATTATGATCAGAACCCGCCTTTAGTTGCAAGGTTGCCTTTTTTTTCTAATCTCCGTGCCATTGGCAAGCAATGATGGCTTGTCTGTGACAAGTACATGGTTGGGGGGTTTGAAGAGTATAAGTCTACCCACGACCTCGTCGGAGAAAAAATGGGATCTGCTTGCTTGGGCTTAGCCGAGGCGCACTTGTTCAAATTGTGCACGTGCAGAGTCCCGAAGGTCTTCTGGCACCCCAAGCATCTGTGCGATCTCAGGGTGGCTCTTGCAAGCCTTGATGAGCTCTATTCTGGTGACCTCGAGACATCGCGACAGCATGCGTCTAATCCGCCTTTGCTACAACATGCTACAAGCTCTGAGGCCGCCTGAGACCCTGACAAAGTTATCTTGGTTCGCATCGCCTCGGGCAGTAACAGCCCGGCTGGCAAAAGGATAAACATAATCATACGTACCTATATATCAACATGCAAAAAAGTTCCCTGGCGCGCGGCATTGCTTGAATGCTTCTTGTAAAGTTCTTTCGGAGATGGTCGTTCCTTGTAACAAAGGCTGCACAGCCTCCGCTGTGTCAACAGCAAGAATCTCCTGGCAAGTTGCACATCGCAAAACCTGAGGAGACCGGCCAAACCAAGGCAAGCCGTATTTGCATTCCGGCCTGTGAACTTGCGCCATCGATGCTCTCACCGGCACATGCACTCCCCATGGCGCATTCAAGTTCCCTGCTCTGTAGACCTCTATAATTTCACGAGCTCAATGAATCAGAAGGCTTGTAAAAACTTTGCTGAATACGTACATGGCCCATTGTCCAGAAAGTGAAGCTTTTTAGTGCTGGAAAGCTGCCGTTTTGATCATGCATGACGATCAAATGCCGCAGTTGTCACATCCTACTTTGGGCCGCCCCCGTGGTGTCAATCCCATGGCAGCTGACCTTTTTGTTCATGGTCTCTCGCGCTTTCTCATGGTCTCTCGCGATCACACACTGATCTGCAGCTCAAGCTTGTCGTCAAGCGAAATCTGCCGAGCCGTTCTTGTCCACGGCGTGCTTCCGTGAATACTCTGTCTGACATGGGCAAAGAGCTGGCCCAGGCTAAAGCAGAGATTGTTTACACCGCGTGCCCCAACAGCAGGTGCTCGTTGATGCTCGTTGATGCTCGAGGCTTGGAGCTCTGGCACCGAACGCTCCCGTGGGGATCTTGAGCGTGAAGGCGGTCAAGGATCACGCAGCCTTAGCCAGTAACAAGAAAGGGTCTAAGAATCCTCCACCGCCAAGGCAGAGAAATTGCAATGAGGCAGCATGCTGTCTTTGAAGATCTGCTTGAAAGTGACCGCCAAGCTAGCTGTTTCCGCACAGATGTGCGCTCTTCCCGGCGCCAAGGTTGCTTTTATCCGCTCAGCCTGCCAAACTAGGTTTTCGATGGTTTTCGTTTACCAAGTCTCTCGGGCCACCGAAATCGTCCGTGCGCATATTGCTCTGGTGCAACCAAGGGCCTCATCCACATTGTTTGAGATGAGAATCACGTAAGCCTTTATGGCCGGATCCTTGTGCAAGATCTGATTCCATTGCCTCTGATTTCAGGGCCCTCCTTCACAGAAGGAGAGATGGCAAGTAAGTGTCCCACAGAACCAGCTAAGATTTGCCTGAAGCCTGTGAGCAGGCACACAGACCCACAGCAGCACTCTACGTAGCGCAGAACAACACATGTTGAGCGGCTTTCGTAAATCATCCTGCTTGGCACGCAAATGACCTGCTAAACAAAAATGTTGAACACGAATATCGAAAGCCAAGTTGCCGAACGTCTATGTTGTACCTACCGACAATCACAGTGTGGCAGCTTTGTACGAAATCTTGCTACTCTCAGTGTGGTACGTGCTTCAAAGCTCCTGCAGCCAGCCGGCATCTTACTGCCATGGGGCGGAACGGTACAAGTGTGCTTGCCGGCCTCTGCAAGTCTGCATCGCTCACAACGAGCAGGAAACCTGAGCTCGCAGCGTCAAACATGACTCTGAAAGCAGTGAAGCGCATGCGCTTGCGTATGCTTGCGTTGTCAGCATGTAGGCGTGCATCTACTGTACCGCCCATAGCCACACGTGATTATAGATCAACCTTCCTGTGAGAGCTGTTGCATGCTTCTTTAGCCACTTGGTCATTGTGGCGTGGCATGCCATTGGAACTGCTGGAGAACATCAACGATATTTGCAATGAAGTAAGTAATTTCTCACGTGATGCTTGGGCTTGCAGGGGGTATGGCAAGGACTCAAGGACCTTGGATGCACTCCACATACTGTCGACCTACATTCTCCAACACACCGTGTTTGAGAAGTGTCTTTCCGCCACAACCTTCTTGAAATGCTGGGGAAGCAGCGCTCGTCTGCAGTCTGTCGACCAAGCTCCGCGATTGCGCGAGATGTGGCCTGTCCATGCTGCGACTGGCGCTAAGCCACTTGTGCTGCATTCGCTGTGCCTCCAATGTATGGTCGCCGGGATAGCAGAACTGAGCGTGGGCCTGCAAGGCAGAACAAGGCAGGCTCGGAACAATGTCTTACTGAAAGCTCTGTTTGGCAGCCGCGGTCCTCCATGGATTTGCAAATCTCCAAACGTTCTTTGTCCTAGGTGTAAACTTCTTGCTGAGTCCGGGGACACTCGGGGACAGCATTCACGTCCCCACTCCAGGCTTGTAATATGGCTGATATGGCATTCAAGGTTCTGACCGTGGAGGCCTGCCCCACTCGACAAGCCGCTCAGCCTCAGGGCCGGTGCCACTGTGGCCAACCATGCGGTAATCGTACTTGTCCTTGCCACGGGCAACCCTCGGCATGCAGCCATGTGCGCAAATCTAATTTCCACTTGTGCAACACCGAGCACTTCTCCTCGAAGCCGGCGAAGCTCTCGAAAATGAAGGCTGCAACTTCTTGCAAGCGCTGCAAACGTCGATCGATTCGATTGAAGGTGTACCTTCTGCTGACTTAGAACATCCAACAAGATCCGAGAGGTACTTCACCACCTTCGACCAGCAGATACCAGCTACAGCAGAAGTAAGCATCAGTCTTTGCAAGCAAGTCACATGCTGCCGCTGATGTCCATCACGAAGGTCAAGCGCTTTGGATGCTGCTGGCTTCGGCCAAAGAGCTCCCCTTCAGGCTCCCCGCGTCGCATGTAAACAGTCTTACATCCTGTGATCCCGTCCTTGGCTGCACAATGCTGCACACATGCACCACACCCAAGGATATTTCAAAGGAAGCGAAAAACATCAACACAGGCTTCATAGAAGGAATTACAACGAAGCTGTACACAACTTGTACACAGGTAGCATCGGGCAAGCCTCCCGAACAGAGCTCCTAGAAAAGAACGAAAACGCCGAGGTGTGTCACAGCCCCCTAACAGGCCCGCAATGACAACAAATTCGTCGGGTCATGCACAGGGCATGATCGAATCTGAGACTTTGCACACACACACTGGCCTTTGCATTATTCGAAGCAGGCAAGAGGCCACCAAACGACTTTCATCTAGCTCGCCCACTGTCTGATTCTTCAGCCATTGTCGCTCGTGCTCCCGGGCCACTTGGCTTTCTAGGCAGACCTTCTGCAGCGCGTAGCAGGCATGCGCAGCATGGTTCGCCCAGAGTGGAAAAGTTCAACGCTCCAAGGCACCTTCATTTCCTGAATCTGCGTTGTGACTTGCTCACGAAGTGCTGCATAAGCTTCTCCGTCTTTCAATGACATCTTCATTTCAGCCAGCCTTCGAGCGTGCTGCAAACAAGCAGCTGCACAAATGCGGACAGCATTGTTGGAGCATGCATGGTCTTGATAGCTTGAACAAAAACTTGAGAAAGGAGCAACAGAAGGTGGGACAGCATCCTAAGCACCGGAGGCTTCAAATTGGGACAGATGCTCAGAGCTACTAGTACTTGGCAGCCAGGCAGGGAGAAAGGAGCAAAGCACACCATGAACAGCCCAGCAGACCTCATTTTGTGGACCGACTAACGTTTCCCTAGTCTCACTGCCTCCAGCTGCAGCGCTGGCCAACAGGAATCACAGAAATGGTCAGGTTCATGCGAAATCCGGAAAAGATGACATGGAGACATGTATCATAGATACCGTCCAATCATTGACAAGCTTCAGCATCAAGCTAACCTCTCACGCATACTTTGCCAGCTAAGCTGATTTCCATTGCGTCCACTTCTCAAAGCGAAGAAATGCCCAGCGCCAATAAGTTCAATTAGATGCATCGGCGGCACTTCAGCGGTATACGTTTTTTGGGGTCATTGAGGCGTACAACTCGCCCAATCGCAGCGTGCCGCCTGCCCCAAGACCTGAGCCCTTAACCACACAAACTCTCAACCCTAATCCCCAAAAAACCCTGAACCCTCAAAACCCCCAAACCCTTAACCCCAAACAATCCTAAACCCTAAGCCCTAAACCCTGAAAATGCGTAAGAGTGAGCACGGTCAACATTCCACTTTACGCTCTCGGTTTTCCCAAGCCACATGACATGTGACTCATGTCAGTCATTCGCATAGAACTAGAACCCTCTAGGTCAAAGCTGCCAGTGAGAATCTATTGTAATCATGTTCTTCAAAACGCGCCTTTTCCGATAGGCTTCGTCAGCCATTTGCTGCGCCTTGCGCTTTGTGGCCTCATCCAAGCCTTGCTTCTTGTCTTCCGAGACCTGCACGAGCTTCTGTCCAACGTCCAGACGATAAGGACCCCAGCGACCTCCAAGTCCTGCCAGGCAAGTTCAGTCCATGGAGTGAATTGCCTGAAGAAAGAGCTTGCTCGGCTGTTTCAACTAGCCACAGACATGCCAAGACCTCTATTCCTTTGTCCTGCAGTTCCAGTGCCTCCGCTGCCGCCGGCGAATCTGTTGCCACCAATGTGTTCCTGACCATCCCACTCTCCATGCTTGGGACCTCCTGCTGCCATGTCTGGTGGACTTTCTCCATTTGCATTGTCTGGATTGGTGACATCCTTGGACTTGTCTCTTTGCTCATCCAGGCGTAGGCTCATGTTGCCTTGAGACCGGTGGCCTTCAAGAAGGCGCACTCCATGTGCCGTGGTTGCAATGCCATGCCTCTGCAAAACCTCCAGAATCGGTTTCCGTTTCTTGGCGTCCGCAACGTCAAATGCAAAGACACCAGCCGCCACTTCTTCCAGCGCATCTCTCGGAAATTGCTGTGCATGGCTTACAAGCTTCACCAGCTCTCGGGTTGAATAGGGATATGCAAGCTGGCCGGACTCGACAAGCTCGCGTAGCTCCGCGAACAGCAACGAAAGCTGGATGATCCGTGCCTTTGGCACGTCAGGGCCAACACTCGCGAGCAGCTCCACTTCGCTAGCAATGTCAGGGTTGTCCACCACGTGACAGCTGAACACATCGCCACAGACCTTAAAGAAATCATTGCCCATGAAGGGGTAGCCAGGACGATTTGCCAACACAAAAAGGCGAAAGACTCTGGACATCCTGACGACTTCATCTTCAGGTGCATTAGCGAAACGCGTGTCGTCTGCGCGAACAACTGTACGCCCATCTGGGAGACTTAGCTCTCCATCCTCAGCCAAGGCTTTCAGAACGCAGACGACTTCCAAAGGAGCCTTGTCAGCCTCGTCGACAACAAGGCAACGGCCAGCTTTGACCGCTCGCAACAGTGGCGAATCTTCCCACACCACAACTCCACCCTTCAAGCTCGGTGCAAGAGTCAGACTCTGGACAGTGGTGTCTCGATGAAGCTGAATGTATTCCTCATTCAGTGCACGGCTGCAGCCCAAGACGAGTATGCCAACGCCTTCATCCTATGCACTGCCACCGTTTGCAGCCTGGTTGCTCTTTCACACTGCAGAAGTCCCAGAAGTCGGTCCGTCAGCTTGTTTTTGCCAACGCCCTGATTCCCGACAAGGAGGAGGTGATGACCTCGGCGCCCTTTACAGCTCTCCACAAACACACCAGCTGGCGAAGAGTCACTGGGTGTCCACGTGTCTGCATGCTTCACCCGCAAAGCGCGACTTCAGGACGCACATGTCCGTTTTGATAGGCCGTTTGTGTGCGCAAGTGGCTGAAGGACTGCTATTCACGTGCTAATGCGGCCTAGCATGCCATGTCTTGACGTGGTCTGGACGATGTTCGAAAGGTGATAAGTCTCAAGGCCCCGACCCAGAGACCAATCAAGCAGCATGTTCTTCAAGATGCCAACATGCTGTGGAATATTAACGAAGACCACGTCTGGGACCAGCTCGGGCCTGAAACCATCACTTCCGGCATGCCATTCACAAACTCAGGACGGTATACTAAAACACGACTTGTGACTTGTGACACTAGATCGCCTGGCTGTCATCCGCACTGGACAAGACACATCTCCGATCTGCAGAATGCCCTTCTCCACTCTGACAGCTGCCGCGGGCTTCCTTGTAGCTTCAGCTGAAATGGACACAGCTCTGCCATACTGAGCTGCTGGGGCAGGGGGCGGTTTCCTCGACAGTCCAGCTTCAGCTTGCTTTCGCAGGTCTTTGATTCTTTCCAGTCGATGTTGCTGCCTGCCAGCTCCATGTGCACAAGTACAATGTACAAGGAGGGTCGAGCACTGCACGGTCCTGTCGGACTCTGCTTTGTCCCTTGCATCATCCACTTCTTGACCACCACCGCCAAACATCCTTGCCTGTGGTTCAGCTGCAATCGCACGCAACTTCTGCTTCCAAAGTACACGACACTTTCTATTGTCAGCTCAATGTGTCCTGAATGGCAATGTTCTCCAGCTCGCGGAGCTCCTTGACCGCAAAACCCTGATCACACCTTGAACTGCCTCTGTGTCAAAGACACTTCGGCTGTCCTGCCGTCGCCTGCGCGAATCGTCATCTGTGTCCAAGGTACGCTGCATCAAGGCTTTGATGGCTGCACCTCACAAGGCGGTGATCTGTACAGAGCTGTCGCAGCAGCTCATATTCGAAGGGGCACACACACACAAGCTGCACCTGATGCCTGCATGGAGTTATGCAATAGGCGGTGCACTGCCTTGGGTCAAGGCACGTGGAAGACAACGCATAGCTCTTGTAAGGCACTTGTCTTACCTGTGTTGATTTCCAAGGCCAGGCCTCCTGAGAGGATAGTGGCAGGAAGTTCAAGCACGCCGAAAACACGCGGCTCCTGATCTCCAGCTCTTGCAGCCAGGGCATTCTGAGCCAAAAGTGCACATCTGAGAGGCGCGCAGGGCTCCCACCACGTCACCAGGTCGTTTGTCAAGATGCAGACCAATGCGCAGCAGAATGCGGAGCGTCAGCCTCGCAAGGATGTCGTTCGAAAACTGGGTGTCCACAGATTCAAAGTATTTGCTCAGCGACGCCATTTTGACGCCGATATGTCTGATATGTCCGATGACACCCCCCGTCCGTCGCCCTACAAGAGGCTGGGTCTTAGAAATGAAAGGGACCAAGGACCCAAGCACCTTTGAGGAGCTCCTGAGATACCAGTCATCAAGGGTGCAGCTGCCTCAGCGGCTCCAGTGCAGGGTCGTCCAGCGATGCATGCCGAATCTTGTCGCCAAAGGCAAGGAGTCCACGGAAGACCTGAGCCCGTAGGAAGACTCAGGTAGTCTACTAGAGGAACAGTCTGTCTTTTGATGGTTCCTGCCTTCTCGCTTGCCGACCTCGGCACCATGACCCATAATAAGAGAGAGAGAGAGAGAGAGAGAGAGAGAGAGACACAAAAAACAAGACCAACCAGGGCAGCAGCTGTTTGCTTTTCGATCCAGTTGCCAGTTCAAGCTGTTCCTGCCACAAGTGCTGAGAAGCAATAGCAGCAACGATATGGCCATACACGCACAAGCTTCTCGCAAGCGGATTCTGTTTTTTAAAAACCTGACCCAAAGCTGGCATGTGGTCCAAAGCCAGAAGAATGTGGCCTCTCATGCCTCTCACTCACGCGGGGTCAAGCCTGTCAAGCTCATGCTTCTCCCGGACGCACTGAACACCCTCCAGGCACTTTCTTGATCTGCCTGACGTTCCTCCGCACTTGATGTTAATTCTGGCAAGGACGCCCTTTCCAGATGTGTTGTGATAGGTATCCTCCTCGAACATCTTCAAACCGCTCCGGCAAGGACCAACTTTGCCATGTCTAACCCTTGAAAGATCATCAGCATCAGCTTCTGCCACGAGCTCTTCTTTGCAGAGTTGCTCAAAGGTTGTGGCCAAAGGCCTCCGCTGCTCTTACTCATTTTACCTTCTCCTCGGGCCTCTACCATGGCCAACTTGCAGGGGCAGGGAGGGCTTGGGCATTCGCTTCAGGCCACTGTGAGCTGGAGCAGAACACTGTACGGCCTGAAGGGAGTACTTCTTGCAAACAGGGAAAGCTTTATTTTGCAGGCCTGGGATGGCAGCGGCACCACAGAGTGGAAATGAAAAAGGGTGGCCACCTGCGCTGTCCTAAGGCTTGCTGTGTCCAAAGTGCAAGAAGGTGAGCAGCGGGCGCCTCTTCGTCAAGCCAAGAATTTTGTCGTCCTGTGCCAGAACTCTTCTTTGGTGGCTTCTGCCTTAGAGTATACTGCAGACATGCCACATCTCCTTCTCGCAGCAGTGTTTGAACTTCTGCCGTGGCCACGCAGCGGAAGGAAGGATGGACCTAAAGTTTGCTGTCCCAATTACGCAGTGGCACGTTCTTGCCTTCATTGAGCTGGGGGGTCTGTTACAAGCCTTGCTTTGCTCGCGGGTGTCACGCTGCAGCTCACCTTATCTCCCTCATGTCTCTCGGGGCTTTGGGCCTTGGATGTTCTCTCTGTGAACAACTTTGGGAGACTCTCTTCGTATCATGAAGTCTCAGCTTGGGCACTGAAAGTACCTCGTGGAGGACTTGTCATGCAAATTAGCCTCTTGTTGTTCAGGTGGCTTGCACAATCTTGCACGGGTTGGCGCTGTAGCTCTGAAGCCATGCGTAGAACAAGCTTTGATATCTTGGTTCAAACCTGGTAACCCGCTGAGGATGCAATTGACGGTTGGAAGTGGTGAGGCCAAAAAACATTGCCTGATCAAAGCACCCAAAGCATCGCAAAGCTATGACAGTCGTTGTCTACAAGCATGCCTCCTGTTCTCTTCACGCTCTGAACAGCGTGCTCTTCACTAGTGTAGGGATGTACTGGCAATAATGTCCCCATCGCATTATTTGCTCTCTTTGTTCGTTGGGTTCGTTAGCATTGCGGTTCGGACAACCAGGGCTCTGGCAGCTCTGAAACGCACGTTGTTCTCCTCAAATTCACGGCCTGGCTGTGCGTTGCTGACAGTGACACTGGCCTTATAGTTACAGAATCTGAGCACATAGCAATTTTGATCCAGGCCCTTGACTGCGAGGAGGCGCTTCCACCTTTCTGGCGAGACCTGAGCGCACGGACTCAAACTGACATGCAAGCCCTCAAAAAAGCTTCGATGCTTCTGACCTTTAATGGCCGCCTCGAGTTTGGCTTGCAAATGTTTGCAAAGGCCTTTGCCAAGCGTGAGCCATCTGGCAGCACGGCTTCCCTGTCAGACAGCAGCGGGCCTTCGATTCAAGATGCAGCGGCACCAAGCTTGCCCAATTGCAATGCTTCGTAGCTTCGCGCCGGGGCTTCAGCCAAGGATGGCTACGTGCCCTCGCGCCAGGCGATGCAGGCCGTCCAGCAATGCAATGTCCCCACAGATCGCAGCCTACAGCAGCCGTCGACTTCGCACTCTGAAAAACAACAAAATGCGTTATAATCCACCCAAACCAGTCCACACCTGCACAACAGCAGAGTCTCGCCACTGAGTCTGCCCAGCTTGGTCTGTTGTGCGCCGCTGCAGCAGGTCGCGAGCAAGCAAGTCCTCTCATCTTTTCAAGCCCTGTATCTCACGCAACTACTTGGATGCGGGGTTCGAGCTCGACGCGAAAACGCTGGCCTTGAAACAGAAGATTGTCCTCTGTCGGTAACCCAGCAGTTCGGCAAACGCACGTACCAGGGCACTCTTGCCAACTCCCTGCCAGCATCTGGGATCGTAAATTGAAAGCCAGACTCCCCGCTTGGCCTTCTCTCCAACGAGACACATATCCATGCCAGCTGCATGATCCTGCATCATAGCACTGACCTGGCATTGCCAACGACTTGCAGCCGCTGAAATTGCGTGCTTGAACAGATTCTCTCTCCCTGCTTAGAACCGGGCAATTTTCTGCTGCGTAGCAGACAGGCGCATGCAGCGCAAACGGTCCAGCCCTGCGTCCTGCGGCCTCTCAGCAGAAAACATCGAAACATATCGAAACGGTGGGACATCAAAATCATTCTGCCCAGCGATGTTGGCAAGCTTTGTGTACAGCGTTTGGTCGCTTTGAAGGTGCATTGCAGCCCTGTTGATGACCGTCTGATTTTGCAAGCAGACAGACAGAAGCGCTGAGGAGCTGGCCAGCAGCCAGCAGGAACCTGAATGTCCTTTGATCTCCATCTGGACTGACAAGAACCAGAAGTTTACATCGAGGCCTTTCTCTGGGCAGAGCTTGGATCCCGGAATGTGATGGTAACTTTGCCTGAGGGAACGCAAGAACTCCATCTGCATAAGCCGTCAGCTTCTGTCTGCTCAGCTTCGTGCAGAGCTCAGAGGATGTTCTCACTGATTCCACCAGCAGCCCTGCAGCGTCCTCTGCAAGAACTGAAGGCAAGCATCCATTATCACCCGAAAGACATTCGAGACATTACCAAAGGAGAACAGTCAGCACGTTGGCAACATTTGGCTGTTGCCATGGAAGTCAGGTGCAGCGAAGCCCACCTCGTTCCCTCCCTTGCCAGAGATGTTGGCGGTTGCCTTGTCAACACGGCCACAAAGCATCTGAACCTCCTTTATCTGTGAGGCTTGCTCCGAGTTTGCTGCGAACCAAAGGTCAGATGGATAGGCGCGCCTCCCGAAAGGAATGATGCTCTCAGCAATTCGGGCTCCGTCAATCTGAATCACATGTGGACCTCAGAGTAGCTGAAGTTGGCGCATCGGGGAAAAGAAGCAAGACACCTGAAAACGAGCCCAGCAGTCTCATGGCCCTTATGCAAGCGCCCCAGAAAGATCCAGCGCTATTCTCCGCGCAAGCAACTCTACGAGGAGCGAGCTTCGCTCCTACTGCTTGTCACTTATGTACAGAGCTGGGCAACCAGCGGAGCACAAATCCGTGCTTCAGGCTGTTGGGCCCAAGCAGCCGAACACGACATGCCACGGGCGTCCCGTGTTGGGAGGCTCGCGGGAGACATCGAGCTAGGCTGCAGCTACGCGCTGGCAAATACTAAGCTGTGCAAGGCAGCTAACCTCTAAGCAGATAAACGACTCCATCACATAGCTGGGATGGGCGCTGGGGACATCTCTGCATCACGGAGGGACCCTTCACCTGCTCATGTTGCAAATGTTGGCAAGTTGCACCAGGAAACTACAAAGCTTGCACAGCACGTAACAAGAAGTCCTGCATCGTGATCTTGCGACATGCTCTCCGTCAGCCACGCGGCTTGCTCACGAAAGCCAGCGTCCTAGGCGTGCACCAGGGAGGTACGCATGCTGACTACAACGGCAAATACTTCTAACGCGCACAGCTCGATGACAACAGTTCCGGACTTTCACCTAGCTCGCTGCGCTAAATCAAGCTGTCTCATGCTGTCTCCGTTAGAAAGAGCTGCTTGCTTTGCTCTCTGACGGGCAGCATTCTTCAGGCTGGGCGAAGCAAACCTTTGAGGGTTGAGCTTGCACGCCATGCACACCATCGGGAACACATCACGTCTTGCTTGCGAACAACTCTCTGCAAGCAGGGCGCCACAGTGAGAGAGGGTGCCAAGCAACACCACGAAGCACAATATTCCTGCACTGCCATCAATAGAGCTTGGAGACTTATGGAGATTTTGCAAGCCAGCCGATGCTTTGAATCTGCTTTCCTGCTGGTGGGATGACGCCGGACCATGGCAGCAGCACTTCGCAGTCGCAGCGCTTCAGCCACAAAGCTGTCAACATCGGCGATGTGTCCTGCAGTAAAACTTGGAAGGCACAAATGAAGATGGCAGCAGCACGTGCTGAAGTATGTCTGGCAATTGAGAGATGCTGTCAGCCCGGCGTTGCAGACTCGCATGTTCACGCAACGCAAAATCACAGCCAGCATGGGGAGGCATCAACAACAAGTGTAGAAAAAGTAGCTAGTGTGTGTGAATGTGGCTAAGGCAGGGACACGGCAATAAGGGGATCGTTTACAGACTCTCTGTGGAGGTCTCTTTTGAAGCTGCTTCGAGCTTTTTGATGTGATGCTCTGAAGCCCTGTTATTGAGGTGTCTTTTTCCGGGGATTGGTCTTCGTCTGTTTTGTGATGTGCTCATGATGCAAGAAGCTCTTTATGCTTTTCTGTCAGATTCGTGCTTGCAGCTACCCATGGCGTGCGGTAGTGTTTAGAAATCCGCTGGGAGGAATCGTTTTGCGGGCCACAGACCGCTGATTTGGGCAGCTCTTTTGCCGCTGAAATCGTCCGATCATTTTTGCCTTGAAGCTATTCTTTGCATATGTTGTTTTCTGAAGCTTTTTTCTGCACAGATCCTCTTCGCAGGATCCCTGACGCTCTTTCCCCCCTTTTACATGGTTGTTGAAACTCTTAGTCCAGCAGCATGAAATCTTCTTCGTTGAGTCGTGACACTTTTTTTCTCCTTTGACACTCGTTATTGAAGCTCTTATGCCAGAAGCTTTTTCTGCCAAGTCGTTTTGGTAGAGTCGCTGACGCTCATTTCCTCTTTGAAGCTGATTTGGGAAGCTCGCAATCGCTTTGCTGCATGACGTGAAATCGTCTTCAACCAGTCCCAAACACGTTTTTCAAATCGCGGCAAGCCACTAGTTCAAAAAAACAAGAGTTCAGCGTTGAGTGCAAAGTGTTGCTATATGTGAGTCAAGCACCAGAAGCAGAGAAGTGCATCCTTCCTTTTTCCACTGCGCTCTGTGAAGGAGTTTTGCTGACAGCTCTCTAACAGGATAGCTTTGGGACCCCCTGGACGGTGTAAAGCAAGGCTGCTAGAGCGCAATGCTCACGAATGACAGCCTGATGCACATGCATCGTACACACGTACCAGAAATCCCAAAGAGTAAAGAACCCCAAAGCTAAACTAATAAGAGAGCCTCAGACAGAGAGGCGAAGGCTGTGTGCAAGATGGGAGGCAAGCTTGCAGGAAGGAGCTTCCAGCCTTGCGACAGCGTCCATTCGTCCAAGAGGCCGTCACGCGAAAGCCCATCAGATGGATTAGAGTCTGATTCAACATACTCCCAATAGACGCGACAACCAAGTCTCGTCAACAGAAGTTGCGTGACGGCAGCCAGGATAGAGAGATCACGGACGCTACTGGCACCCTTCATAAGTACTTGGCAGGCCGATTGATTATCGATGTACCAGACGACATCGCGGCCGCGAATACACTCAGGGATATTCGTGGGAATCAAAACTCCGGCCAGCGCTTCACAAATGTTGATCTGAGTTTGCCTAACTTGGAACTTGGCCAAGACAGGGTCAGGAATGTCAACACTCATCCCGACAGGTTGATGTCCATCGGCAGGAAAGCAAACAAAACCTATC